ATTGAAAAGTTGCAAGTATTCCCTAAACGACACCCATGCCAAGCGACCTCCTCTGTTTGGAATGCAGCAGGGAAACCGCTCAGTATGGGACCCATAAGCTAGTGGAGATCACTGGAGTAGTGGTGCCTATATGGCGATTTCCAGCTGCCACAGGGATCCCAGAGGTATGGCACATACAAATCTTATATTGGTTCAAGCTGAAACAATGTAACTAAAAAATTGACATACCTGGAATCCAGCTTTAAAAATTGGAACTAAACGTGTCCCAAAATAAATCTAAAAAGGCACACAACATACTTACTAGTCCATGGCATCCAGTGTTTTGCCTCTAGGGAATGTTCTCCCCTACATTACTTTCTGGTACCACCTTGAATTCAGATCCAGCACATGTGCAGAAACACTGCTGAGATCTTTGACAGGTCTACAGGACCTAGCAGATCTCCTCGGCGTATCTGCATGTACCGCACCCCCTGTATATGTGCTGGCAAGCCGCAGGTCCTGGCTGAGTAAGCTGGCAGAGGCTCCACACCATTTCTGCACCTGAGTAAGATTGCACAAGCTGTCTCTTGGATGAGTGAAATCCCAGGAGGCAGTTTTCAGGAGAAAGCACATTGAAGACACGCTGCAATGGATCCTGGCGTTACCCACAGTGTTGCTGTGTAAGCATGGGGGCCAGGTATGCCATCCTCCACTAGATGAGAAATATGGACTTAACTATAAAAAAAAAAAAAAAAAAAAAAAAAAAAAAAAGTGTATAGGTAGGGGAAAGGAGTGGTCTGCTCTATACCCCCCTGCCAGATTTGACATTTGTGTCCCATTGGAGAGATTTCCACTCACCTCCTGCACAGTAAACAGGAAGCAAGAGGAAATCTCTCCAAACATGAAGGCACCTCCCTCTTAGCTGACCCTAGAACAAGTGTCCAGACAATTCCCAGTTGGTGACCATTTACAATGATGGCTTTTTGCTCACTTTCAACCAAAACAAATTGCCACACATACATCTGAAAAAGGGGGTTCTAACCCCTCACTACTATCCAACACTAAAAATGTTCTTGTGTTAGAGCTCATGCACAAGGTGGGGGCATACAGAATTCTTTCCTGGAGCCACAGCATATAGCCATCCATAGGAAGAAATTACAGGATGCTGCCAATACCTGTACAAGACATGTATAGGATGTACATCCGAGGACACAAGTCTGCATCCCAGGTTGTATGTCTTTGCGCATGTGTACACAAATACCAACACCAAATACTTGCGATGCATTTTTGTAAACTCCCAATAAAATCTATGGGGGCCAAAAACACTAGAAGCACATGCACCCTTTCACAAGTCACACAGGCAGATTGCCTAGGTTTCAATGGGCCCATATTCAATGGGATTCTTTTATAGATTGTTGTGCAATAAATAAGTGCGAACAAGAACCAAAGAAAAAAACATCTCCCCATTTGTACCTGTGCGACAAAAGAATTACGGTCTGTCTAAACCTTGTGCTTCTGTGGGACTCAAAGATGAAAGCACTTTTGGTTCCTCCAGAGGATGCTAGGGGTTTCTAGTGCGGTGGTTGACTGAGCACCCATTTGTGGATGCCTGCATTGTTCCAGGGCCAATGGTGCTTAGCCTAGTCAGCAGCAGGATGCCAATGAACTTTAGTTGCCCATATGGAGTCATTCGGACCACCAACCCCAAATGAATTGGTTTTAGGTGTTCCCCCAAACCTGAAAATTACAATTGTAAGGGTCTCAGGTTAAACCAGTTGAGAAAGGCTGCTCTAGAGTCATTTTATACTGCAACAGAATACCACGCTGATATACGGAAATTCAATTACAGAAGATGCAAAGTTGCTAATCCAACTTTAGCTGCACAGGCACATTCATGCCGAGATACTGGAATCTCATGGGTTAATAGACATCACTGTCTGAACCCAGGGGAAAAAAAAAACGTCTGTTTCCTGCCTGCAAATGCTTGGTCTAAGGGGATCCTGAGGAAATTCCATAGCAACCACATTCCAGAGGTCTGCTGGGATCACCAGGGGCATGACCCCTGAGCCACCCTGAGCGGGCATCAATTCCAAAAGAATTTCAATCATTCCAGGAAACACCTTTCAGGAGATAAAGGTCTGCACTCCAAACAGCAAATATTAAATTTATACAACTGAAGCCCAAGAAAAGCAAAAATCGGCCCTGAAAAGGAATTTTAGGCGAAGCTGCCGGCACATTAACTGTTGCATGGCACATCTGAAATCAAGGAAGAAATGTTGCTTGAAACAAAAGAAAGTTTGAAAACAAATGTTTGCGATGAATAGGTCGCCACAAGCAGGCAATGTTCTGTGGAAGAGGGCCAGGAGTACACTACTGGTTACAAACTAGAGCATTCTGGGAGATGCAGTTCAGCACAAACTCACAACTGAAAGGCCTTGGGACATCGTAGAAGATACAAATCCCTCATGTATGGAAAGGGAGCTGGAACAGCAGCCTCAGATGAGTTCCCCACAGTCCCATTATATATAGGAAAGGATGGAGCTCCCCATAGTCCCAATACGTACTGAATTGAAGGTGGGGCAACAGAGCCCAGGTGGCGCTTCCCTGGTCCCAATATATACCGAAATGAAGATTGGGCAACAGTCAGGTGGAGCTTCTCATTCTCATGTAAAGCAGTGGTCTCCAACTGCTACGCTTTGCTTGTCTTATCAAGCCATGGGGGCACAGTTTACTCCCACTGACACCAGGAATGGGGGGGCACTGTTTACTCCCACCAGGACATTTTCTACTTCTGCTGGCCACAGTCCAGGCCCTACAAAGTCTGAAGGACAGTAAACCGGCTTTGTTTAGAAAGTCTGGAGACCCCTGATGTAAAGGAACAAAGATGAAGCAGCAGCAGAAGGCCTCAGGTGGAGCTCCCCGGATTCCATCATGTATAGAAATGAAGGCAGGGCACCTCAAAGCCTCAGATGGAGCTCCCTGTAGCCCCATCATGTATAGAAACAAAGATGGGACAGCAAAGCCTCAGGTGGAAATCCTCAAGGTTCCATCATGTTAAGGAACCAAGATGGGGAAGCACAAGTCTGTGGAGCTCCCCATAGCCCTATCACGTATAGAAATTAGGACAGTTGAAAGCCTCAGATAAAGCTCCCCTGGTTCCCTCATGTACAGAAAAGATGGGGCAGCATAGCCACACATGGAGCTCCCCATAGTCCTATCATGTACTGGGATGAAGATGGGGCAGTAGAAAGCCACACGAGCTCCCCAAGGTCCTCACAGGACTCTAGACTACCTTAAATAGGGTGCCAGATCCAGTTGAATCTAGACCCTCTCAAATGACTTACAGTGCACAGAGCTCACTGCCAGCATCAGACATCCTGCTACTCCACTATGGGGTATATCTGCTAAAGCATTCAGTTGTCTACAACTACGGAGTCCTACAAAAAAAAGTTCAAAGTCAGATATCCAGAGAGTCATTGGCTGGCCAGACACACAAATGTTCAATGTAAGGAGAATTTAATCTTTCAGAGGTCAACTACTTGACATGTTTAGTTTTAGGTATCCATTCTGATTTCCAGTCCCAAAGAACCCAGTAATCCCAGCTGGCATTTCCAACTTGACTTTTCTTCATTCTGGTGTTGAATGGTCAACTGTAGGGGCCAAACCTACACTTGTTCATCATTGAGAGTTTGTCAGTATATCAGAAGAGGGATAGGCCATCATAGGAAATGGTATCACTGCCCACTCTTAACCAGTATATCCAGCCTCAGTGACGGCAAGGACCAACCTACCCATCCTAGCCCCCATTCACACCTCAACGTTTTATTTTGGGGGTTCCCAAAGCGTGACAGTAAGCATGAATGGAAGCTGGCCATACACAGAATGCATACAGATTGTATAGTGTTTGGCCAATTTTAAGATTGCACAGTTTCCATCAGATTTACCAAAACTGTTGGAGGACACGCCTAAAAAAGCCATTCAATTTATATCAAACCAGGAAGGCTCTTGCACCATAGCTGATGGTAGTGCTAGAGGAGATTGTACATAAATTGGTTAGATAGGTCCTCATTACATAGTTTTGGCAAACCTAAAGTTATTTGTATGGTCAGATTGTAATGTGTATGGTAACCCTAAAGGTCAGATTGTAAGGTATACAGTGAGGCCAACACTGCCTTGAAGCAGGATTCAGACTTTGGTTGTCAGGCACATGTGTTGGCCACGAATGCATTGACCATACCATCAAATACGAGTTTTTGATTTGCTCGTAAAATTAAAAAAAAAAAAATGAACTTTCTGCTACCTTTTCATTCACATTGAACAGATTTTTTGGATTGGAGGTGGAAGGAATGAGCTCTGGAAGGATCCAATTATCAAGTTGATTGTAAAGTTAATCACAGACTTCTTCAGACTTTTGACATTGAAAGTGAGCAGAGTGAAGGACAGTTTTGGTCACAGATAAGCTCAGCACACATTATGGTCTTACTGTATAATCTCCATCAGGGTCATCATACACATTACAATTTAACCATAAAATATCTGTAGTTAACTTTAGATTTACAAAATCCATGTAACATGAGCACATGCCTAATCTATCCAACCCATTGTATCCAATCAGGCAGATCCTCATGCTCCATGCTTGTTAGATCTAAGGGAGAGTGCATAGATTGTAACAGGTGTGGTGAGTGTTAGGTCTACCAACAACCAAGTAGTATAAGGCCCTGCCTGCCTGATTGGCTACTGATTGTATGGTCTACCTAGGTCCTCAAGTTGCACAATGCTGGTAAATCTAAAGCAGATTGTGCAAAGATTTAACATGTATGGTCAGTCAACTCAGCACATATTACAATAGAACTGTACAATCTCCTTTAGATCCAACAACTATGTAGTATAAGGATCTCCCTTATGGTTACAGATTGCATCGTTTAGGAAAGTTCTCAAGTGACACAATTTTGGCAAATACCAAGTTGATTGTCTCATGTATGGTCCCCCAAAATACTCAGCCTTGATGCAGGAAGCAGACATTGGTTGTAAGCAGGAGCGGAATGACCATTTGGAAACTCGGGCACTGCCCGAGGGCCCGGGGTCAGTAGGGGGCCCCATGAGATGCCCCTGGTACCTTTTTCATAGGCTTTTTTGAGTTTGGGCAAGGATATAGGGGCCCCATGATCCAATATTGCCCAGGGGCCCCATGAGTTGTTAGTCCGCCCCTGGTTGTAAGGTGCATGTGTAACATCCAATACTGGCCATAAGTGCACAGACCATACAAACAACTATGTTGGTATTCTGTAAACTTATTCTAGAAATTTTATTTATTTTTAAAAGGTTTATAATAAAGTTATACAAAAAAAGTGTTAATGCATTTAGAACTTAGTTCTTTATATCAAAATAAAAATATTCAAATTAAAAAAGTAATTAAAATTCTAAAATTTTATAAAAAAAAAACAAATTAAAATGTATTTAATAAACGGTACTTGTCTGTTAATTCACCGGATAGATATATATATATATATATATATATATATATATCTCTATATATCTATATATATATATATATGGGATATCTATATCCGGTGAATTAACAGACAAGTACATAATAAACTTCTGTATTTTATTTTGATTAGTTTTAATTATCAGGTATTCTGTAATTCATTTTCTGCTGCATTTTCAATTGCATTGAACAGAGGTTTCCCAACTGAATGGAAGGTGAAGCAATGGGCACTGAAGGCTTCAATCGTTACTGATTTAATTGTGACCGAATCACCGATTTCTGCCAATAAACTTGCCCCTGACAACGATCAGAATGATGCAGCCTATGGAAGCGATCAGATTGCATGGTGTATGGCCAGTGGCCGACCCCTAGTCTTACCTATAGAGACCAGCTTGATGTTCTCCCGGTCCAGGAACTCCAGGGCCACCGACACGTTCTCCAGCTGCATCTGGCGGAAGGTGGGTCTCTGGTTGTACTTGCGGTACATCTTCTTCTGGCTCAGCACCTCCAGCAGGGCGATGAGTCGGAGGCCATCCCCCAGGTCCACCTGCAGGTTGGCGATCCTCTTGTTGACACATTTCAGGTGCTCGTTGCACCATCGGGTGAACGTGTGTTCTGCTGGATCTTCTTCCACGGCGCGTCCTCCGCCAGGTCCTTCTCGGTAGCCGGCATCTCCGCTGGGTCCGCCCCGGGTGCTGCTGCTCCTGCCGCTGCTGCCGCCGCTCCGCTCTGGGTGAGCCTCGGGTGGGCGCTGCTCATTTTATGGATCCGGATGAGAGGAGGGTCCGGGGAAGAATCGGGAGGATGGGCCGGCCTTAAAGACACAACACACACATCGGTCACATGGGAGGGCATACATGGTATATACACACATCGGTCACAAGGGAGGGCATACATGGTATATACACACATCGGTCACATGGGGGAGGAGGGCATACATGGTATATACACACATCGGTCACATGGGAGGGCATACATGGTATATACACACATCGGTCACATGGGGGAGGAGGGCATACATGGTATATACACACATCGGTCAGATGGGGGGAGGAGGGCATACATGGTATATACACACATCGGTCAGATGGGGGGAGGAGGGCATACATGGTATAATACACACATCGGTCAGATGGGGGGAGGAGGGCATACATGGTATATACACACATCGGTCAGATGGGGGGAGGAGGGCATACATGGTATATACACACATCGGTCAGATGGGGGGAGGAGGGCATACATGGTATATACACACATCGGTCACATGGGGGAGGAGGGCATACATCGTATATACACACATCGGTCACATGGGGGGGGGGAGGAGGGCATACATGGTATATACACACATCGGTCACATGGGGGGAGGAGGGCATACATGGTATATACACACATCGGTCAGATGGGGGAGGAGGGCATACATGGTATATACACACATCGGTCAGATGGGGGAGGAGGGGATACATCGTATATACACACATCGGTCACATGGAGGGCATACACCGTATATACACAGATCTATCGGTCGACACCCTCTATGTAGGCGCCATCACCCACTATATAATGCTGTCACCTCCAGCCATCCCCAGTCCTCAGATCCTTTGTTACATTGTACTGTGTGGGGGAAACATTGTAACTTTTCATGGGAACCCTCTAAACCCAGCAACTTTATTACTTCTCTCAGATCCCACACCGACCGACAAATACACAGCTGTCACCTGTATACAGGACTGCCCCTCATCTGCACGACTGTTCTTCATCTAAAAGACTGCACCTCTTTAAAGGACTGATCTTCATTTGATGGACTGTTTCTCACTTAAAGGATTGTCCCACTTTTATAGGACTGTCCCTCATTTGAAGGACTGATCTTCATTTAAAGGACTGTCCCACTTTTATAGGACTGTCCCTCATTTGAAGGACTGATCTTCATTTAAAGGACTGTCCCACTTTTATAGGACTGTCCCTCATTTGAAGGACTGATCTTCATTTAAAGGACTGCTCCACTTTTATAGGACTGTCCCTCATTTGAAGGACCGATCTTCATTTAAAGGATCATCTCACTTTTATAGGACTTTTCCTCATTTAGAGGACTATCCCTCTTTAAAAGACTGATCTTCATTTTTAAAGGACTGTCCCTCATCTACAGGACTGTTCTTCATCTAAAAGACTGCCCCTCTTTAAAGGACTGATCTTCATTTGATGGACTGTTTCTCACTTAAAGGACTGTCCCTCTTTTATAGGACTGTTCCTCATTTAGAGGACTGATCTTTATTTATAGGACTGTTCTTAATCTAAAAAGCTGTCCCCCTTTAAAAGACTGATAATCATTTAAAGGACTGTTCTTTATTTGATATACTGTTTCTCATTTTAAGGACTGCCCCTCATTTAAAGTACTGTTCTTCAGCTAAATGATTGTCCGCTCTTTAAAGCAGTGTTTTTCAACCTTTTTTGTGCAAAGGCACACTTTTTTCATGAAAAAAATCACGAGGCACACCACCATTAGAAAATGTTAAAAAAATTTATTGAAAAACCTTTTGACTTGAGGGCCGCAATGGGTTCATAATGGACCCGGGGGCCGGACCAAGAGTAGATGAATGATGTGTATGTGTCATCCATAGTAAGTATAGTAATATTCCCCCATAGTAAGCATAGTAATTAATCCCCCATATAGTAATTCATCCCCCCATAGTAATTCATCCCCATATAGTAATTCATCCCCCATATAGTAATTCATCCCCCTATAGTAATTCATCCCCCATATAGTAATTCATCCCCCATAGTAATTCATCCCCCATATAGTAATTCATCCCCCCATATAGTAATTCATCCCCCATAGTAGTAATTCGTCCCCCATATAGTAATTAATCCCCCATATAGTAATTCATCCCCCATAGTAATTCATCCCCCATATAGTAATTCATCCCCCATAGTAATTCATCCCCCATAGTAATTAATCCCCCATATAGTAATTCATCCCCCATAGTAATTAATCCCCCATATAGTAATTCATCCCCCATAGTAATCCCCCATATCCCCCATAGTAATTAATCCCCCATATAGTAATTCATCCCCCATATAGTAATTCATCCCCCATATAGTAATTCATCCCCCATAGTAATTCATCCCCCATATAGTAATTCATCCCCCATAGTAATTCATCCCCCATATAGTAATTCATCCCCCCATAGTAATTCACCCCCCATAGTAATTCATCTCCCATAGTAATTCATCCCCCCATAGTAATTCATCCCCCATATAGTAATTCATCCCCCCTATAGTAATTCATCCCCCATATAGTAATTCATCCCCCATAGTAATTAATCCCCCATATAGTAATTCATCCCCCATAGTAATTCATCCCCCCATAGTAATTCATCCCCCATAGTAATTCATCCCCCATATAGTAATTCATCCCCCATAGTAATTCATCCCCCATAGTAATTCATCCCCCATATTAATTCATCCCCCATATTAAGTCCCCAAGCCCCCCCTGTGTCAATTCACTTACCTTTGCTCCGCGCGTTCCTCTCGCCGTTCCGGTGTAGCATGAAAATCTGTCTCCTATGAGGATCTGTCCCCCTCGACGTATCTGCGCATGTGCCAGTTTCAGGCATTAGCAGCCGATCGGCGATCTCCGGCACATGCGCAGATACGTCGAGGGGGACAGATCATCCTGACAGTATCACGCTCCGCAGGCCGGATTAAAAGGTCCGCCGGGCCGTATACAGCCCGCGGGCCGTAGTTTGCCCATTGCTGTTCTAATGATTGGTCTATTTGTGAGCTGAGGCCACATGTTACGGATGAAATTGCAATTTTTTCCCACGGCACACCAGACAATATCTCACGGCACACTAGTGTGCCGCGGCACAGTGGTTGAAAAACGCTGCTTTAAAGAACTGTTTTTCGTTTAAAGGACTGTCTCCCATTTAAAGGACTGTCTCTTCTTTAAAGAACTGTTCTTTGTTTAAAGGACCATCTTCCATTTAAAGGACTGTTCCTTCTTTAAAGGACTGTTCTTCCTTTAAAAGACAATGTCCCTCATTTAAAGGATTGTCCCTTATATAAAAGGCTGTCCATCATTGAAAGCACTATTCCTATATATCAACCAAATCCCTCTGTCCCCCTCTCCTCCTGCGTTGTCCCTCTTTTTGGTCTGATGTATTGACTAAAAGAATTTCTATTTAAAGCTGGCCATACACTATACAATCTGATTGCACAATCTCATCTCCTTTAGCTCTACCAAAACAATGTAATACACGTACAAACCTAAACAACCGATTGTACAATCTCCTGTGGATCTACCACCAACTCTGTGGTACTTCAATTAGACCCGGCCTGGATACAAGGTGATTGGATGGTTTGTGTAAATTGGCAGATTGCATTGTTTTGGTAAATGTAAAGTTTATTGTACAAAGATTGTACGGTCAGATTCTTGTCACTGGAGTCCGGTGTATGGGTGTAATCACCGCTGTGCTCCCTGTGGCCCTGCCATGATGGTTCTTTCAGGCACTTCCTGTTATGGAGTGACAACACTCTGTGTATGTCTAATTGCTGCGTTGTCACCTGGAGACCACAAGCTTGCATGTATTGCAGTTGTCACCAGCTGGAACCCATCCTGAGCAATGACTTTCAATTGTCAATGGAGTGCAGTGAACTGATCAGGAATCAGTAACTGACATAGTTACATAGTTAGTCTGGCTGAAAAAAGACAAAAGTCCATCCAGTTCAACCATTAAAAAAAAAAAAAAAAAGTTATAATCGTACACCCACAGTTGATCCAGAGGAAGGCAAAAAACCCAACAAAGCATGATCCAATTTGCTCCTGCAGGGGAGGGGGAAAAATTCCTTCCTGATCCCCCGAGAGGCAATCGGATATTCCCTGGATCAACTTTATCTATAAATAACGTGACCAGGGGCGGACTGACCATGTGGAAATTCAGGCACTGCCCGAGGGTCCGGGGTTAGTAGGGGGCCCCATGAGATGCCCCTGGTACCTTTTTCATAGGCTTTTTTGAGTTTGAGGAAGGACTCAGGGGCCCCAAGATCCCCTATTGCCCGGGGGCCCCATGAGTTGTCAGTGCGCCCCTGAACGTAACATTTAATGAAAAATAGGCCAAAAAAAGGATTTTCCTAAAAAAAATTCTGGTAGAGCTAAATATCCCCCAGATAGAGGGCCCGTTCACACCACAAAAGCGCAATCCACATCTGTTCCAAATGCTTTTCTGCACGTTTTTAATGCGTCCCAGTGTATGTTTGTTGTGTTTCCAGATGCCTTTTTTTCTCTTTTTTTTCCTGTTTTTTTTTCTCACTGTACTGTACTGAGGTCCGGTGCATTTTTTTATGCATTGTGATGTATCTCAGTGCATTTTTGATGCATTTCAATGTGTTTCAGTACAGTTCAGTGCAGGAGAAATGCAGCATGTACTACTTTTATTTCTGGAGCTGGAATGCCCTGAAACTGACCACACTGGTGTGAACTATGCCAATTGGAAGCCATATGACCTACTGTCCATACATTTTGTGATGCAGGAGAAAAAAACACACTGGACTGCAGGTGGTGTGAACTGGCCCAGAGTCTTTTGGCACCTTTCACACGAGCGGGACCGATGGGGTCCGCCTGTCCGATTTACAGGCTGACCCGATTGGTGCATACATAGACTTCTATGGACCAGCGGGTGTCAGTAGACAATAGTCCGCTGGCACCCGCCGGCATCCGCCTCGATCCTGTACACCAAAAACAGAAAGATGGGGACCCGTTCCCCATCCGACTAGTGGATCAGATTGGATGACAATCGGGTGGAAATAGAGAGGCGGTCTGTTTCCATCCGACCGTCCCATTGAAATCTGCAGGCAGTGTCTGTGTCCACTCTGCTGCTGGAGAGACCTGGGGTGTGGCCTTTGCCTACATATTTTGTGCTAAAAGGTGTCCTGGGGGTGTGGCCTTTGCCTACATACTTTGTGCTAAAAAGTGACCTGTGGGACGTGACAGGGGTGTGGCCTTTGTCTACATACTTTGTGCTAAAAGGTGTCTCGGGGGCGTGGCAGGGGTGTGGCCTTTGTCTACATACTTTGTGCTAAAAGGTGTCCTGGGGGTGTGGCCTTTGCCTACATACTTTGTGCTAAAAGGTGTCCCGGGGGCGTGGCAGGGGTGTGGCCTTTGCCTACATATTTTTTGCTAAAAGGTGTCCGAGGCGTGACACAGGTGTGGCCTTTGCCTATATACTTTTTGCTAAAAGGTGTCCCAGGGCGGGGTGGGGGTGTGGCCTTTGCCTACATATTTTGTGCTAAAACGTGTCCTGGGGGCATGGTAGGGGTGTGGCCTTTGCCTATATATTTTGTGGTAAAAGGTGCCCCAAGGGCGTAGAAGGGTGTGGCCTTTGCCTACATACTTTGTGCTAAAAGGTGCCCCAGGGGTGTGGCAGGGGTGTGGCCTTTGCCTACATACTTTGTGCTAAAAGATGTCCCGGGGCGTGGCAGGGGTGTGGCCTTTGCCAGCATATTTTTTTGCAAAAAGGTGTCTCATGGGGTGTGGCCTTTGTCTACATACTTTGTGCTAAAAGGTGTCCTGGGGGTGCGGCCTTTGCATACATACTTTGTGCTAAAAGGTGTCCCGGGGCGTGGCAGGGGTGTGGCCTTTGCCTGCATATTTTTTGCAAAAAGGTGTCTCATGGGGTGTGGCCTTTGTCTACATACTTTGTGCTAAAAGGTGTCCTGGGGGTGCGGCCTTTGCATACATACTTTGTGCTAAAAGGTGTGCCGGGGCGTGGCAGGGGTGTGGCCTTTGCCTACATATTTTTTGCAAAAAGGTGTCCCGGGGGCGTGACACAGGTGTGGCCTTTGCCTATATACTTTTTGCTAAAAGGTGTCCCGGGGGGGGTGGGGGGTGTGGCCTTTGCCTACATATTTTGTGCTAAAACGTGTCCTGGGAGCATGGTAGGGGTGTGGCTTTTGCCTACAGACTTTGTGATAAAAGGTGTCACGGGAATGTGACAGGGGTGTGGCCTTTCCCTATATATTTTGTGGTAAAAGGTGCCCCAAGGGCGTAGAGGGGTGTGGCCTTTGCCTACATACTTTGTGCTAAAAGGTGCCCCAGGGGCGTGGAAGGGGTGTGGCCTTCGCCTACATACTTTGCAGTAAAGGGTACCCCAGGGCGTGTCAAAGGGTGTGGCCTTTGCCTACTACAAACTTTGTGTTAAAAGGTGCTCTAAGGGGCGTAGTAGGGGTGTGGCCTATGCCTACATACTTTGTGCTTAAAGGCGCTCCCAAGGGCGTGATGGGGTGTGGCCTTTTCCTCCATACTTTCTGCTAAAAGATGCCCCAGAGGGCCTGGCAGGGGTGTCCTTTGCCTGCACGCTTTTTACTAAAATTCATCCTCCATTTGATTCCTAATCCTACTGAAAAGACTAATTGCTAGATAAGGCTCTATATTTTTTTTATTCATAGAGAATATTTGGAATGTTTCAACATGGAAACTACAGGGGACTTGGATGATTTTTACTGAACTTCCATCCTTTTGTGCTCGGTTGGGATAGGAATGTCAGCCTGGGTGGTAGGTTGTTGTGATTGACAGCTGATGGCTAGTGACACATGTATGTGTATGCCAAACAACCAGATTTATCAATCTTCTTGCATTCATCACCTGTCCATCATCTATTCTCCTACATAAAAGTAGTCATGGATATGAGATGACAGCTGCCACATCCAGAGAGATCAGGATCCCGGGCCTGCCCGCATTGTCTTATTCTGTGCTCCAGCAGGAGTTCTCTATCTGTGTGACCGAGTCGCTGCAGCCTCCTGTGTAAGGAGCTCCCAGCCGTGGTTGCACACTCACCCCCTCTACGTAGGATGGGTAGAGTGGCTGCTGCAGTTTATCTGGATCAGACTTGGACATGGAACTCCTGTGAGCCTATTGCATCCAATCAGATAGGACACAGACTTTCACAAAATGTCTCCCGGAATGCAGTCTGCCTACTAATACTGTCTGAGAGCTGAAGGAAGCCTCTCTTCCAGCCAGCAATGAAGTGCTGTGTCAACAAAGCATCCTGTGACAGTCATAGCACTAGGCAATTAATAGCTGTCTTCTATTCAAATCTTGAAAACTGTGCAACAGTTAACTCTAAATATTATATTGACATATATTTGAAATACTACAATTTTGACCGATTCAATATATTTAAAACATATATATTTCAATATTTTATATATATATATATATATATATATACTGTATGTTGAAATGCGTTTTTTATATATTAAAAAATATATGAAAAATATTTTCAAAATACATTTTCAAATATATGTCTTTGAAAATACATTTAATCTATATTCTTGGATTGCATTTACATATATATGTAAAAATATATGTTAAAATGACTTAAAAAAAATCTGAAGAATATATTTTTAAAATATATGCCTTTAGAAAATATATTTACATTTTTTGGAATACATGTTAAAATATATTAGCGTAGGCCAATATATTGTAAATATATGTCACATATATAAATTTTTTTTCTAAATATATTGGAAATATATTTCTCTTCCATGTGGGTTTGCCACGCCTTTTCTCCTGACAGCAGCATTTTGGCAGGAAAAAACGCTTAAAGCATGTAAACGCATGTAAACGTGTCTAGATGCTTTTAGGGGCATCAAGTGCATGGGCATTAATTAATTTAATTGGCCATAATAATAATTTAGTAGTATACAACTATCACTATTCAGGCATCAAATTGAAGCCATATAGTGGCTAAATGGTTAGCACTTCCTCCTGGCAGTACTAGGATCGTTGGTTCGAATCCCAACCCCGGCACCACCTGCCTGGAGTTTGCATGTTCTCCCTGTGACTATGTGGGTGTACTCTGGTTTCCTCCTACACTCCAAAGACATGCTGGTAGGTTAATTTGCTCCTGTCTAAATTGGCCCGTGTATGTATGAATGTGAGTTAGGGACTGATGTACAAATATATATATGTAAAGCGCTGTATAAATTGACGGTGCTATATAAGTACCTGAAATAAATCATCACTATAGGACACAGTAGTGACATGTACCTGGTGGATGGAACCACAAAGCCCAGAAGGGGGACTGGCATCCAATACACCTGAAAATGTAGAATGCTATAGATTTTTTGGGGCACCATAGTTTTAAAAGCTAGCCATGATCTGGATTTAGTGCACTCCATAGACGTACTGTATGTGTTAGGCTTCTTCTCTTGCAGGCCTCTCACTGATGGCTCATTCACATTGTCAGCATAATAAAGTGAACCATAACAAGCCAAGGGCCAGGCTCCTTTTGCCAGGGGTCAGCAGTGCGTATATACCTTCCCTGATTGGATGCAGACACTGTTCGCCCAAGAATATTCCACTAAGTACCTGCGTCAAAATTTGATTGAAAAATTGACTTTTGTTGAGCCGGGTGGTGCCGACGGAGCCACTCATAGAATAAACTTTGACCAAGTCAGCAGGAATCTGATAAAAATGCGATCCATGTATGTCCAGCTCTAGATCACCTATACTCTGTGACTTAGGGGACCAATACGTAATTTAACCACTTCCAGTCCGGACACTTTTACCCCCTTCCTGTCCAGGCCAATTTTCAGCTTTCAGCGCTATCACACTTTGAATGACAATTGCGCAGTCATGAAACACTGTACCCATATGAATTTTTTTACCATTTTTTTGAGACACATAAAGCTTTATTTTGGTGGTGGTATTTATTCACCGCTGGGATTTTAATTTTTTTTGCTATGTAAATGAAAAAGTCCAAAAACTTTGAAAAAAAGTGTTTTTCTTTTAAAATTTTGCAAATAAATAATCTTTCATCATAAATCTTGGCCGAAATGTATTCCGTTATCTTTTTAGTAAAAAAAAAAAAAAATAAGCCAAATTAGTTTTATAACCAAAAATTATCATTTTCAAACATTTTTTTTACATTTTTATATTATTTATGGTTTTTTTTTTTTTTTTTTTTTACATACTGTCACCCTAGCAGTACAGTGTCACCATGGTGACACTGTACTACTTGTGGGGGGTGATGAAGATTTTTTTTTTTTTACAGTGATTGCTTTTAAACC